TAACTAAAATCCGCACAAAAATAGACCTGTCATAGTAGTCAGAACAGAGGATTTACCAAATTCGTGTTTTCAGAGGAATTATTATATAAAACAATGAATTGAAATGAAAAAATGAAAATTGCAGGCTCATCAAACGAAACATACACCAGAAAGCTTGATTTGTCTTTGTTAATTGCAAATAAAAATAAATTTTGAACGGGAATCATCAGGTAATCACTTCACGCAGTGTAATTAACTGGTCACGTCATTATGTCACGATTTTTGCTATTATGAAGTTGCCATGGTTACTGTGTCATCATTATTCACCATTCGGATTGAAGGAAAACAATGTTTCAAAACCTATATGTATGGCTGTGCCGGAAGTCATGTGATTTGAATCCACCAGACATGTTTATGCCCATTACCAACCATATGCATGGCATTTCTTTTTCATCTCTGAACCTAGCTGGATATATTTTCTACTGCATAATAAAATTGGCGCATTTTCCCAAAATTCAATCCTGTCAACCCCATCACCGTGACTCTTCAATATTTTCACAGATGTTCCCCCCTAAATGTCTTGTTTAATAAAAAAAAACATCCTCGACAGGGAGAGGGCGTGTTACATTCTCTTTTCGCTGTTTCCATGGTTACATAGGTCAGCAGAACATTGGACATGATGACGGTAGAACGAGATCTATTTCAGAACACCAAATATTATTAAGATATCAACTGTTTTTATTTTCGTAATAATGTAATTTAAATAAACAGAACACGCAAATTCGTAGACATGAGCAAGGTGTAAAATGTAATCAGCTATTTTATTCGTCCGTAATTTGTACAAAGATATTATTTTTTGTAAGCGTATAAATCATTTTCCAAATTAAATGTTGTAATTACTCAAATTATCAAAAATATTATAAAAATGTAAAATATAATTAGGAATTTGCTTTATTCAGTCTGTAAGTGTAAAAACCTATTTTTTCCTGTAAATGGAACTTTCATTTTTTTCCCTGTAAAACGGAAAATGTCGTTTTTATTTCCTGTAATCTGTACCAGCTACCCCCCCCCCCTGCTTCCTCTCTATTAAATATCGGACGTATTCTATGGCGGCCTGTTATACGGCCATCGTTTAAATAGTGTATCCAACGACGGATTACGAAATTAAAGGCACGGGGCTGTGTACACAATATTTTACGACTGTGTGTTGGTATAATAACTGTGAATCGACACGAATATTGAAATTAATAATTTGAAGATATGCGTAATTTATTTAATATAAATGAATGTCACGCTGAAATGCATTGTTGGTCTCGATACAATTTTCTTTATCAGGAATTTTAACAGATTGTATATTGTATTTATATAAGACAAGTGAATCAACGTGAACAAAATTGACATTAGTTTCCATTTTTTTGGTAAAATTATTATATCTCAGTTCTCAGTGAAACTGTATTATAAACGTTTAATCAATCAACGTTCAATGTCAAGCACACGTCATACACAGTTTAGAAATAAAAAAAAACGATATAAAAACACAGTATTACATAATGACCATACACCTGTGTTTCAGATTGATAATTGAGATCTATATTATCAGGCTTTGTTATCTTTCAGTCTCAATTGTGTGCATTCAGTTACGTAACTTCTCTCTCTCTCTATATATATATATATATAGGGAAGTTACGTAACTGCATGCACACATATATATATATATATATATATATATATATAT